TTAGTAAAGGGATACATACACCGATCAGACAATTGCTTTTTTTTATTTTTATTTATTGTTCAATAAATCATAGAGGTCCATATACTTTTTTAGGATTCTCCAGAAATGTCTGGTGACATACTAAAGTCAAGGTAGATTTATGAGGAACAAAGTGGGTCACAAAAAGTTTGTGTTAAAGTAAGCAGCTTGTCTTTTATAGTGTAAATGTTCTTGGCTGTTTCGTCACTAAAATAAAATAAATTACAATAAATGAACGGTTAACACTGTTTAATCAGGTAACAGTATTTAAACAAAATATTTATATCAAAATAATGAAAATGCCAATCATGATGTTTATTATATTATTATTATTATTATTGGTTTCAATACTTTTATTATTAGAAATCTTTGCAGACATTCACTTGAAAATACACTTAAACAAAAACAAAACTTGCATTCTAACAATTAGACATTTGAAAAAAATTAAAAATAAAACAATAATAAAAAACAACAACAAACAACAGTCATAAAAATAATAATAATTAAACAAAACAAAAAAAACAAACAAAAAACATGCATTTCCCCGACCAACCACCCACCAGTGCTATCCAACAATAAAAGTAGGTACTAAAGGCAAAGTAAACTTATTAATCACAAGTTTGTAAAAAGGAAATAAAAGAGAACCATTTTTTTCAAATAACAAAACCTTGTCTATTAGGGTATATCTGATTTTTTCCACATGTAATTTACCGGTTAACTCTGTCAGCCATTATTTAGGAGTTGGAACTTCTTTTTTCTTTCAAAACAAAAGGATCATTTTTTTGGCAGAGATCACCCCATTTGAAACAAATATTATTATTATTTATATTAAATATAAAACCCATTTTTTACCATTTGTTTAATTGTGATGTATTATAATTACTTTTTTCAATAGGCAAATTATATATTGCTGTATTTAAATTGAGTAAACAAATTATGCATATTAAATTAGTAATATTTAATAATATTATATTTAAAATAATTATTTTTTTGAAGTATTTTATTATTAACAACAACAGCGATATTAATATCCTGTCTGTATGACAAAGTTAATTTATTTCCAAATTAATCGTTTAATATCTTTTCTGTGGCAAATAATGCAGTCTATTATTTTTTGTGAAATTATTTATTCATTTACATTACGTTTACATTTAGTCATTTAGCAGACGCTTTTATACAAAGCGACTTACAAATGAGGACAAGAAAGCAATTTACACAACTAAGAGCAACAATGAATAAGTGCTATATGCAAGTTTCAGGTCTGTAAAGTCTAAGAAGGGAAGTATTAGTAGTATTAGTTTTTTTTTTTTTTTTGGGTACAGTTAGTGTGATATTCAGAGAGGCAATTGCAGATTAGGAAGTGAAGTGGAGACTAAATAGTTGAGTTTTTAGTCGTTTCTTGAAAGTAGCAAGTGACTCTGCTGTTCTGATGCAGTTAGGGAGTTCATTCCACCAACTGGGCAGATTGAGCGTGAGCGAAAGGGATTTCTTCCCTCTTTGGGATGTAACCACGAGGCGACGTTCATTCACAGAACGCAAGTTTCTGGAGGGCACATAGATCTGCAGAACTGAGAGCAGATAAGAAGGAGTAAAGCCAGAAGTCACTTTGTAGGCAAACATCAGAGCTTTGAATTTGATGCGAGCAGCAACTGGCAGCCAGTGCAAACGGATGAGCAGCGGAGTGACATGTGCTCGTTTAGATTCATTTTTCTTATTTTAGTTCTAAACGCCAAGTAAAGTTCTACCTTTTTTAAATTTTAAAAAAGTATTTCTAATAAATAACCATTAATTTACAGATATATCACCTGTATACTACTCTTCAATATATCAAACATAATGTACAGTAGTCAGAATTATTCACCCTCCTTGGAATTTTTATTTTTATTTTTCAAATACTTCCCAAATAGTGTTTAACAAAGCAAAAATAAATAAATAAATAAATAAAAATAAATAATAATAATAATTCACAGCATGTCTGATATTTTTTTATTCTAGAGCAGGGGTTCTTAAACTTTTTTCAACCAAAAAACCACCTCAGAAATAAATTGTCTCTCCAAGTAACACCAAAATGAGCAGTATTGAAATACAGTCGCGTAGTAGGCCCAGTAAAGCAGCTACAACTCTGCAGAGTTTAAAAAAACATGGCAGATTATCTCAGAAAAATAGGCTATATGTCATATATGGCATATTATATGCATCATTTTTGGTAAATTTTAAAATGTGTGTAGCATGTACATGACATATTTCATTCCTCTGTGTACCACTAGAAGGAAGCCTGCGTACAACTATTGGTACACATACCACAGTTTGAGAACAGCTGTTCTAGAGAAAGTCTTATTTGTTTTATTTCGGCTACAATAAATGCAGTTTTTAATTTTTTTCCGATTGTCTTCAGAACAAACCATCATTATACAATGACTTGCCTAATTACCCTAACCTGCCTGATTAACCTAATTAAGCCTTTAAATGTCATTTTAAGCTGAATATTAGTAAATATCCAGTCAAATATTATGTACTGTCATCATGGCAAAGATAAAAGAAATGAGTTATTAAAATTATTATGTTTAAAAACGTAAATATAAAAACAGAAATTGGGGAAAAAATATTTAGGTGGGCTATTAATTCTGAATTCAACTTTAATAATAATCAGATTGTAAAATTGCGCTCTTGGTAGATTCTGCAATTTTTGCTGCACATTCAGATTGTTGAGCTCTGTGTGCCATTATTTCAGCACCGCCTGGACTGACAATAGCAGATGCACAATAACTCAAATCTGCCTTTCTGACTCTGTAAGGGAGATTTAACCTCAGGCCATCAGTAAATATCACTGGCCGCGTCCTGCTGACCGCAGATGAGAATCAAACGGCATCCCAGCAGGACATTCAGCCTTTCAGAAACTTCCAGCTCAGTGACGCTTCTCTCCAATCTCTGAAGCGGTTCATTGCTTTACAAAGCAAACCGAGTAGGTGTGACTGAGGCCAAAAACACACATATGACTTGTATATGATTTTATTTTTTAAATGATTACCTCTGAAACAGTTTTTAATGTGGCGTGATGTAATCAAGCATGTTGTTGTTGGAAGAAAAAACATTCATCAAAGTTAATTCAGAGATCTGGAATACTTGATTTTGATTGGTCAGTCAGTAATTTAATCATTTTTCTATATTAACTTACTGCTAATTTTATTTTACTAAATACATGGCTTCGCTCCCTACTTTTTGACGTTTTCGGACTGAGGTTGGCTTAAATCTTTTCATATGTTTAACAACAAAAAATGTGTCTGTTTTTTGGTACTATATAAAGAAATGCTATCTATTGACTTTGATTTAGATTTAGATAGTGTTTATGTAAGGCTTTTAGTTAATTAATTAATTAACTTCATACACTCCTATACTATTGTAACGACCACCTTCTTTTTTGTTTTTTATTTTTCTCTCTGTAAGAAAGTAGTTAATGTACTTTGTATTTTCCTTCTTTTATATTGACCTGCTGATTGTGTTTATATTTTATATATATATATATATATATATATATATATATATATATATATATACACACACACACACACACACACACACACACACACACACACACACACACACACACACACACATATATATATATATATATATGTGTAGATTTTTTATTAAATTATAAATAAAAAAGTAAAAGACAAAGACTTAGTATATTAAGGCTCAATATTAGTTTTTATACAATTTTTTTAGAAACTGTGGAAAATATTAAAATAATAAAACATGATTTATTGAATTATATTTTGAATGACAGATTTTTTATATTATTATAATAATTGTATTATGCAACTGCTGTATATACAGTACATCAGGAAAATATTGTTGGGTTACACTTTATTTCAGGATGGATTAAATTTATTTATTTTCTCAAAATTCTATACACAATTCCCCAAAATGACAATATGAAAAAAGTTTTTGAAATTGTTGCATATATATATATATATATATATATATATATATATATTATTCATTACTAATTAATACTCTTATTTATAAATTTTATTTAATAATTAAATTAAAACATTAACTGTAATTACACATTTAAATGATTATCGATTTATTACAATAAATTATAACATGATGAGCAATATTAAATCATTATTTCCTAACTATCAATCATTTATATGTATTTGTTAAATCACATTAAAATGTATGCATAATGTGATCACATGACCAGATAATCTACACACATTCATGTTTGCACACTCTTTGTTTGTGGAAAAACAGCAAATATTGAGTGAGAAATAGACCTTCCATTAGAACCCAAAACAAATATTGCATGCCTACTGTTGCAACCAGGCACTCTGTATTGAGTCATGAGCTGAAAGAGACTGTATGCGGTATAAGAAAGTAACGAGACTCACTTGTGTCCGTATGCGTCGGGTGAGGTGGTCAGGTTGACCTGCATGACGGTTTGGAACTCGCTCTCGTTGCAGCAGTATTTGAAGGCTGTGTTGTTATGATGGCAGCAGAACATGTACGTCTTGTTGTCCGAGAGTCGAGGGCAGTGGAAGCCGAAGTGATAGCGGCCCTTGTGGTCAGAATACGGCTCACACACCCGAAAGTGAGCGGAGAGAGCTACAAAAACAAAAACACACACACACATACTTGTAAATGTGGTTCATGAGGACTATTCATGAGTTGACAGTTTTCAGTTGACAGTTAGTCACTCTGCATTTTTTGCTAGCCACAATTTTGTTGTCGAAAAAATTACTTAATTTACCCCCTAAAAAAAAAAATAGCGTCGTGACATTTGATTTTAGGACACGGTGTAATATGTAGCATCTAAGGATCTTTGGTGTTTAAGAAAAAACAGATGAATTATGATGATAGTGACAGGGATAGGTGAGCTTTATTTTCATTTCCATTAAGTTTATGTTAATTGTTCACCGGATCCAGCCTTCTCTTTCTCTTCTTTTTGAACCTTGTGACGTTGGTGCCAAAGCAAAGAAGACAGCCCTGGTTAAGTGTATACTCCATCAGCTGTTTTAGTTTCTGTCAGCTTTACGTTTTTAACTGTTTGGCGTCATCTTGTGTCTGAATAATGTGCAGGTTAGTGTATACTCCATCAGCTGTTTTAGTTTCTGTCAGCTTTGCATTTTTAACTGTTTGGCGTCATCTTGTGTCTGAATAATGTGCAGGTTAGTGTATACTCCATCAGCTGTTTTAGTTTCTGTCAGCTTTGCGTTTTTAACAGTTTGTCGCCATCTTGTGTCTGAATAATGTGCAGGTTAGTGTATACTCCATCAGCTGTTTTAGTTTCTGTCAGCTTTGCGTTTTTAACTGTTTGGCGCAATCTTGTGTCATAAATATGCACAGGTTAGTGTATACTCCATCAGCTGTTTTCTTTTCAGTCAGCTTTGTGGTTTTGACTGTTTGGTGCCATCTTGTGTCTAAATAATGTGCAGGTTAGTGTATACTCCATCAGCTGTTTTTGATTCTGTCAGCTTTGCATTTAATAAAAAATTAATAAGTTATTACGGCTCTAAACAATGTTTTCTGTCTGAGTTTAATGTTTTGTGGCAAGTAATAAGTGGAATAAGTATATTTAGGATGGTTGTTTTCACAGAATAAAGCCTCTTAGTCTTATAAAACAGTGCTCCACTTTCGTTGGGCTGCTGATAAATCTGTCGGGCTTTATTCTGCAATAATAACCTTCTGGAAGTCTTTATCCTTAAAATATGACTGTTGTTAAACCCATCTATTTGTTTATTTAAAAAAAACAACAACAAAAAAGTTGTTTAATAGCAAAATCCAAGCAGAAAAACTACATTACCCATGGTGCTGTGCTGAACCAATTCCACCAATCAGAGAAGTCACACTGAGCAAAGCACAGCAATGAGATCTTTATCTCTAGCTTTTTCTTCTGAAGTTAAGTAGTGGGTGAAGATGAACTAAGCGAAACCTTCATTTCCGTTTAGAAGATGCTTTTTATCATAAATCTCCTCTTCTTCAGAAGACTCTGATCAATTAAAACGTTCTCCGCTTTCAGTCTGCATTTCTCTGCCTTTCATGTTCAGCTGGATTTGCTAATTTAGTCAAATGTGAGGAGAAAAATTACCAGAACTAAAGTGCCTGTGATTTTTCAATGCTCAATCATACAGGGTGCAAATTATGAGTGTTTTCGGGGTGTTTGATGAAGGCTTAAAGCCTCAATGGGCATCAAAACAAAGAGCAGAGAGTCTTAAAATACTACACCACGTCCGTCTGTTACATATTGAATATTTCAGTGGACAAAGTTTGATTAAAAGTGAGAATAAATGCATATTTTCACCTCATGCTAAATTGATGCTCACAAACAGAACTCGTGTTGGTGTGAGGAAGTTTCCATGGCAACAGTGTGCCTTGACATTATGAACAAAACCAAAGTGCTATTATTATTATCAATTTATATTATAAACAAGTGAATATCTAATAGATTTAGATGCTAGTGCACTTTAGACTGCATTTTCATTTGCTTTAAAATGTACATTTTTGGGGAAAGATAATCATAATTTTTTTTATTAAATTAAATTGAATTTAATTAACTATATATATATATATATATATATATTTTTTTTTTTTTTTTTTTTTTTTTTTTTTTTTTTTTTTTTTTTTTTTTTTGCCTCACAGCAAGAAGGTTACTGGGTCAGTTAGCGTTTCTCTGTGGAGTTTGCATGTTCTCCCCGTGTTGGTGTGGGTTTCTTCCGGGTGCTCTGGTTTCCCCCACAGTCCAAACACATGCGCTTCAGGTGAACTGGATAAACTAAATTGGCCGTAGTGTATGAGTGTGTGTGAGAGAGGTTATGGGTGTTTCCCAGTGCTAGGTTGCAGCTGGAAGGGCATTTGCTGTGTAAAACATGTGCTGGATAAGTTGGCGGTTCATTCCGTTGTGGTGACCCCTCATGAATAAAGGGACTAATCCAAAGGAACATAAATAAATGAACTTATCAAAATTCTTTAAAAAATGGTTTGTGCGTATTTACAGTGTAATAATGTTACTTAACTGGGTTTTTACCTAGTTGGGGTCACTTTCAATAATTAGACAATTTTATTATTTATTTTACTTAATGTTTTACTCATTTTCTGCATATAATTGTTTGTATGTATTTAGTTTGACGGCACAATTGTGTATATAAAAAACAAAATCAAACACGGAGTCTCAAAATCCTTTTGTAAGAGGAACTACTTCTGCCCTTTATTCACATCTGCAGCTGACGTTAAAAACAGCAGAAACCATTGCTCATTCACTAAGGTCACTTTAGAGCTAGTGTTTGAATGATTCTCTAGCGTAATGTCTAAGTGATGACCAAACAGACGATTTTGCTGACATTTTAAGATTATAAGGCTAAACAGCATGAAATGCCATCAGTCTACAGAGATTTCCCAGTATTTGTGCTGCAGTCGGGAGATCACAATGTTTCTATGGTATAAATACAGCACTACACCATACAAAAGATCAAGAGATGAACTTAGAAAGTCATTTACCTGTTTAATGGGGTATATGTCAAAGCATGCTAATAGGACTTTTAATTTGCCAGTAACCTGGGTTAAGCGCTTCCGGTGAATTTAATGCCAATGCAAAATCCGGTGCGGTCTGTTTTTCTTTAAAAATCTGCGATCTCCACTAGCTGAGTGATATCCGATTTACAGTGGGTCTCAGATTGTACAAGAAGCACTGCATTAAATTACATTTCTCCCACCATATCTTTATAATATGAGCATTTATTTTACCCCAGTATATTCATTGGAGCTTCTGCGTTAGCCTGCCGATTCTGACTGGCGCGTGCGAGTAAACAGCTTTTTGTCTCGTTTTACGCTTGAGCAACTAAATAAATGCTAAAGTTTATTTAACTGAATGTATTTTAATGACATTACAACATTGATGCTGTATAAGGAACCGTATAAAATGGTAAAAAGTTCACAATAACAGGTCACCAGAAGTGTATCAGCATGGGAACTGCTGTAGTTTCAATATATGCTGTTTTTCTCTTAGGGCTTATTATATGGTCTCTGTCGCCATCTTGTGTATGAATATTGTCAACCATGTTTGCTCAAGGATAGGCTAATAGCCTCTCAGAAATTATAAATATTTTAAAATAGGCACTATCCTTATCAATAAACAGCATTGCAAACTAAACAACTACATTCGCCACTAAAAAAGCCTCAAAAGTACATTATGTTGCCCAACAGCAGCAATATTTGTCAAACTGTAAAGTGTCCTCTGCTTGTGGCTGTTTGTGGGTGGAGTAATACACAAGGGTGAAGGGTTAAGAGGCTGGACGAGTGCTGTTACTGGCAGAATATCGCATGGCTATCAGCCAATCAGATTCAAGAACCAGACAGAACTGTTGGATGTGTGTTTGTATATATACATATACATTGCTATTTTATTAAATGTAAATTAATTGTCAATTCTTTTTTAAAATGTGAGTGTTTTGATTTCATTCCATAATACAGTTTTTTTTTTTAAATGTAGCAAAATATAAAGAAAAGATAAAGTCAATGTTCAGCCCTGATTTAAAGTGACCACAACAACCAATTTAAACCCATTTTTTTCTCAATAAAAGTCGAGTGGTCAGACTTGCAGGAGGCTGCAGATGAAGAAACAGCCTCTTATCAGATTTAGACTCTCATGTGGCCATTCTTTCTCCAGTCTCTCTGATCTGTTCAATTTGTCTGCTGTTTTGTCCGTGTGTGTGTGTGTGTGTGTGTGTGTGTGTGTGTGTGTGTGTGTGCGTGTGTTCGTGTGTGTTCAGGTTCCGCTGAGAGCTTCCACAACACTGATGGACTGGCGGGATTGTGTGAGATTAGAGGTCATAAAGCAAGATCAAATCCAAAAACCTCTTTAATTATTAAAGACAGGCGTGAGTCATTCTCTCTCAGCAGAGCTTACAGCCTCGGACAGCATGGAGAAAACCAGCATCAAACAAACCAACTGTGATGCTGTCTTTTATTTGTTTATTTGCAACAAAAAAGGGCAATGCGGTGGCACAGTAGGTATTGCTGTCGCCTCACAGTAAGAAGGTTGCTGGTTCGAGCCTCGGCTGGGTGAGTTGGTGTTTCTGTGTGGAGTTTGCATGTTCTCCCTGCATTTGTGTGGGTTTCCTCCGGGTGCTCTGGTTTTCCTCTCAGTCCAAAGACGTGGTACAGGTGAATTGGGTAGGCTAAATTGTCTGTGAGTGTGAATGAGTGTGTATGGATGTTTCCCAGAGATGGATTGCAGCAGTTTTAAAAGTTAAGATGTCAAACTTCTTCTGTTGAAGTACAGTTGAAGTCAGAATTATTATCCCCCCTTATTTATTAGACCGCTAGTTTATTTTTCCCCTAATTTCTTGTTAACGAAGAGCAGATTTTTTTCAACACATTTCAAAACATAATAGTTTTAATAACTCATTTCTAATCACTGATTTATTTTATCTTTGTCATGATGACAGTAAATAATATTTGACTAGATATTCTTCAAGACACTTCTATACAGCTTAAAGTGACATTTAAAGGCTTTGGTAGGTTAATTAAGTTAACTAGGTAGGTTAGGGGAATTAGGCAAGTTATTGTATAACAGTGGTTTGTTCTGTAGATTTTTGGCAAAAAATATAGCTTAAAGAGGCTAATAATTTTGTCCCTAAAATGGTTCATAAAAAATTCAAAACTGCTTTTATTCTAGCCGAAATAAAACCAATAAGACTTTCTCGAGAAGACAAAACATTATCAGACATACTGTGAAAATGTCCTTGCTCTGTTAATTATTATTTGGAAAATATTTAAAAAAGAATAAAAAAATCGAAGGGGGCTAATAATTCTGACTTCAACTGTATGTTGGAAATGGAAAGCCGCTGACTTCCATAGTAATACAGATGTAAATGGTTACTTGTTCACGCATTCTTCAAAATATCTTCTTTTTTTGTTTAAAAAAGTAAACAAACTCCTTAACTCAACATGAAATTCAGTGTTATCCTATGTATTATAATGAATGTAAAAATGTAACTATAAAAGTTTTTTTGTTGAACACAACAGAACATATTTTGAAGTGTGGGAAATGGGAAGTCATTGACTTCCATAGTATTTTTTTCCTACTACTGTATGTATGTCAATGGTTACTGGTTTTAACATTCTTCAAAATATCTTCTATAATATTTCTTTCTTTCTTTCGTTCTTTCTTTCTTTTTCTTTCTTTCTATTTCTGTCGCCTCACAGTAAGAAGGTTGCTGGTTCGAGCCTCGGCTGGGTCAGTTGGCGTTTCTGTGTGGAGTTTGCATGTTCTTCCCGCATTTGCGTGGGTTTCCTCCGGGTGCTCCGGTTTCCCCCTTAGTCCAAAGACATGCGGTACAGGTGAATTGGGTAGGCTACATTGTCTGTGAGTGTGAATGAGTGTGTAAGGATGTTTCCCAGAGATGGGTTGCAGCTGGAAGGGCATCTGCTGCGTAAAACATATGCTAGATAAGTTGGAGGTTCATTCCGCTGTGGCGACCCCGGATTAATAAAGGAACTAAGCCGAAAAGAAAATGAATGAATGAATAAAAATTACTTTTAAATTTCTTACTTCAAGTTTTTGTTTTGTCGTCAACAAAATCACATTCAGTGTGATCAGCGCCTAAATAAACTCATAAATGTTTATAGCCGATTGAGGGCGAGTAAACAGTGAGTAAATTTCATTTTTAAGTATACTATCCCTTTAAGTCTTTACTCTGATTATTGTATATAATGGCACGGCATTATTCATACTCATATAATTGTAGTCAGTGTTTGTGAAAGCTCAGTTCGTCGATGGTACATGTGTGCGTCTCTCACCTGTGCTCGGCAGCAGGAGTAAGATAATGGTCAGGATGTTGAAGGTCTGCTGACGCGTGACGCTCATCTTCTTGTCCTCCATCAGGGGAGGATGGAAAGAGTTTCAGCCGCTTCCAGACAGCATCTTCATCTGCAGCCGCTCTTCATCAGTGCAGACCTGCACAAACACAGAACTTCAGCATCACACTTTATACTCCAGCTGCTTTTGTTTGACCCAGCACTAAACAATCTTGCTTCTGTACATCAACATTTTTGCTGTTTGTCTACAGCTTTACACCAATTTAATGGGATAGTTCAACAAAAGTGTTTTCTGTTTATTTGCGTTTGTGAATTGCATTATGGGATGTTGATGTCTGCTCGACTTTTGATCCTGAAAATTTAACTCTGCAGATTAACAAAGTGACTTTTACTGACATTTTAGTTGTTTAAAAATATGAGGTATAAAAAATAATATATAGAGAAATAAGTCTGTACAATAACAGGAAATACTGGCAGTTTATTACAAGGGTTTTTGTAGCGTGACATACAACACCAACCCAGACAATATATCACATTAAAATACAAAAAATGCTCATAAAAGTCACTTTTCCATCTTTTTAAGGTTAAAAGAAGAAAGATCAAGGTCTCATAATGCAATTCAAAAGCATAAACAAACAGGGAAAAATAAAAACATGAATAACAAAATATGGAAAGCTGCTAATGTACGGATATTTTTTACTGTGTACATTTAGTTTCTTCTGTTGAACACAAAAGAAGATATTTTGAAGAATGTTGGATTGATTAACTTTCATAGTAGGAAAAGCTTAAACTATGGAAGTCAATTATCTTCTCTAAAGAAAAAACCCCAAACAGGTTTGTGACAAAATGAAGAAGTAAAAATGAAGACAATATATATATATATATATATATATATATATACATATATATATGTCTGAACGAAACAAAATGTCAAATTTGCTAAATTCTGAATGAATAAACAAACAACAAAAAAATCTAAAAATAACAAGGATGAGATAACATTTACTGCACACATGTTGTACATCCAGGGACATCACTTTATTTGAAAAATGTTAGCCTAAAAAAATTATGAAGGCTCTGTAATATAAAAGAAACTCCCTGAAATGTTCTGCAAAAATAATTTTCTAGTTGGTAAAAAGTCCGACCAACCTCAAAACAATGGTGACAACCCATTTAGACCAAATGATAAATTTGATTTAAGTCATTTGTGTTTAAAAAACATTAAAATAAAACAGGATGTTTAAGTAAATTTGTACAAAAACCCCCCACACTTTTTCAGCTCTTCTGCAAAAGTTCTCATGTAATTCAGTGTTTTGAAATTACTAATAATATTATTCCAGCAATTGCTAGATTTTATATATATATATATATGCAAAAAAGTTTCAAAGTTTTTCCAATATACACCTATAAATAAATAAATATATATATATATAGGTGTATATTGGAAAAACTTTGAAACTTTTTTGCACTGAAGTTGATGGTAAATATGAATAATTAAGAATTAGCAAGACTGCCAGAATGATACTATACTTATTATTCTTACTATAATGCTATAACCCCTTTATCTTTGCCTTATTTACAACAAACAATACATTTCCTTACAGTATACAGTTACTTACAAAAAGCAATGATAAACATATTTAGGAAAATTGTGCATGCTTAAACTTTAAACTACATTTCTCAAAACGTCTAAACTCAAATAAAGAATGGACTACACAGCTAACATGTGCTATTTATGATTAATTTTTAGAATTAGTGCTAATAAATAGGCAACCAAACGTGGCTGCTGCATTATGGGTGGTGTAGTTCTTAGCACAGGAAGTCAGTTTAGTGAGCAGCCATTTTGAAAACTCCAGCAGGTGTAATTAAAAAAGTGATTTCTGTGCTTCACAAGTCAGGCCGAGAGATGAGATTTCCCTCCTTCATCATTCTCTGGTAGGATGACATTAATTTTCTTTGCTTCGTATTATGGTTTCTTCTGTCATTGCTGTGATAGTAATCCCGATTTCCTTGTTGAGTTTCATGACCGCTAACGTTTATTGAGTTTTGATTTGATTTTAGAATTAAAGCATTAGCATTAAGCTTTTGTAAGTGCCTGATGTATATGTCATACGATTTGTCTTTTGTTTTAGGCATAAAATCATGTTTTTGATTGCTTAGAGTGACACGATTAGCGATGCCGATTTGCAATTGCTCTAAATCTCAGCCATGTCCACCAATAAGTGTTTTAGATGATCATAATCAGGTAAAATACTGATTATTTGTGTGTCTGTGTGCTATCAGATATCTTTGCATCATCCTTTTGATGTTTTATTTAAGACAAGTTTAAAATCATTAGCCTAAAAGGGATAACGGCTAATGCTAACCCTGCCTCATGGCAATGGGCTATAAGCACAGACTTCTAATTTTCAGGCAGGCAGCCCAAGGGCTTCTGGTAAACTGTCTTAACATTACAAAATCACCATGTTTAAGATCTGATTTCTTTTAAAATCAGCGGTCTTCACTGCCTGTTGGATATAGGATATAAAGTGGGTCTCAGGCCAGACAAGAAGCACTGCTTTAAAATCCATTTCCCCCTTCCATGTCTTTAAAATATGACCGTTTGATTTACCCCATTATTTTCAATGGAATTTCTGCATTAGCCTGTTGCTTCTGAAGGCGCTAGTGGTTACAACAGTCTTTCATCTCTTTTTGTGTTTGAACAACTTGATGCTTAAGTCTATTAAACTGAATGTATTGTAAATACTGTACATTACAACATCAATGCTGTAAAAACAACCTTGTGAAACTGAAAATAGTCACATCAAGCTTTCGCTGGAAGTTTATCGTCGGCTTTAAAACTCTAGCTGTGCATAGAAAATGCTTTTCTTACTTGGATTTTTTCTTTTGTTTCTAGTTCAAATATGAAACTATTCCTAAATCAAGAAGCATTTTCTAGACAAGCAAAACCTATTGTCTTGTTTTCAGAAATAATATGTCAAAATTGGGTGAGTTTTTCCTTAAAGCAAGTGAAATAATCTGCCAATGCTGTAAGCGAAAGGAAAAACGATTCATTTGCCTAATTCAGGGGTGTCCAAACTCAGTCCTGGAGGGCCAGTGACCTGCAAAGTTTAGTACCAACCCAAGTCAGACACACCTAGGCTAGCTAATAAAGCTCTTACTAGGCTCTCTAAAAACATCCTTGCAACTGTGTTGAGGCAAGTTGGAGCTAAAACCTCCAGGACATCGGCCCTCCAGGACTGAGTTTGGACACCCCTGGCTTGGCAGATTATTTTGTTTGTTTTGAAGAAAAACTCACTTGCTCTCGCAGGACTCAAACAAGAATTTTTAGAATTTTTGACCAAGTAAGAAAAACATTTTTTTTTTTTTGCAGGGGAGACTAAAAGCCGCCATTAGATTGGCCTTAACATGCTTCATGTGATTAATTTAGCGTTATTGGTTTTCCGATGCTAAGTAACACAGGCATTTCCATTTTCTCAGTAAGAAAATTTCTTTTATAGTCACTCAATCTAACTTTATTTTTACTAAAAAAACAAAACAAATGCACTTGTTTTACTTTCCAAGGTTTTCAGACCCTGAAATTGTCCTGTTTGGGGAAATTATGATTAATATAATTTCTTCATTTTCATTTGGTAAACTAATGTTCCCTTCTTTTTTATTTACAATTCTATACTTTAAATTTAAATGTTTTAAACCTATTTCTTTATCCTGTTGAACACAAAATATATTTTGAAGAATGTTGGAAATAGGATTGACTTCTATAGTACTTTTTTCCTACTATGGAGGTCAACGGTTACTGGTTTAAACATTCTCCAATGTATATTGTTCTGCCCTCACTCCGGCGTCTCTCTTGCCAAAGTTAGACAGACAGATAAACTCTTTCCAACACGTGAGATTGTGGGAGAATGCTGCTTTATTCTACGCCATTCCAGTATGTTGAAACAGAGTGAAACTATGTAAAAAGATGTACATAAAATGAGCTATAGTTATCTATGTACATAACAATAATATCTGAGATAGAATATAAACACAAACAGATAATAAACTTACAGGCAATGCTTTTACAGATGATCACAGGATGAGTGGATTGTAAGTGTCTTGTAGGGTGTTTTTTTTAAATGAGGCAAATAACTGATTCTAACTGTCAGAATGTTTCTATGGCAACAACAATTTAAAAGAAGCTAAATGACCAGGGATTAACTTATGGATTCTGAATACTAATATTTAGTAGAAGATATATATATATATATATATATATATATATATATATATATATATATATATATATATTATATGAATGTAAAAATGCACATGTAAAATGTTCTGCTGTTGAACACAAAAGAAGATATTTTGAAGAATGTTGAAAATCGGAAGCCATAGACTTCCTTTTTTTTCCTACTATGGTTGTCAATGTTTACTGGTTTGAACATTCTTCAGAATATCTTCTTTTTTGTTTAAAATAGTTTTCCTTAACTTTAACATAAAATTCAACATTATCACATGTATAATTTATTTCTAAATTTAAATGTAAAAAATCAAAAATAGGAGCTTGTAAAACATGCTTCTATTGAGCACAAAAGAAAATATTTTGAAGAATGTTAAGCCATTTTCTTCCATTATTTATATATATATATATATATATATACACACACACACACACACACACACACACACACACACACACACACACACACACACACACACATATATATATATATCACACACACACACACACACACACATATATATATATATATATATATATATATATATATACACACACACACACACACACATTTTTTTTTTATATGTATGTAAATGGTTACTGGTTTCAACATTTAAAAAAATAAATTTGCTTTTTAATTATTATTCCCTAATTCTGAGCTAATAAAACGCAACAAATGTAAATATGAACATGTATAAAACTTTTGTAATAATCACAGTTTGTTAAAAAAAAGTCTTTTGTAAAGAACAATAAACTGCAGAGATTGCGTCAGGCTTTGTGAGTATATGCTAAATTACTCTCCATTCTTTTGTGGCTGATTTTGAAAGCGTTGTGAATGAAATCAGGGGATAATCTGCATGCTGCGAGTGTTTATTTCAAGCTGCTGATGGATATAATGTTTATTTTTGCGACCG